GTGGCATTCTAGGAATACTCCCACTTAGTTTATTTCCTCCAAGGTTGAGTTCTATCAGAAAATTCAAGTCTACGAGAGTGACGGGGATTGAACCAACAAGATTGTTGCTCTGTAGGTTCATGTTCATGAGTTTCTTCAAATTTGAAATTGAAGATGGAATTGGACCTGTAAGATGATTCCAGCTGATGTTGAGCACTTCCAGACTCTGTAACTGTGTAATCTCAGGTGGGATTTGCCCACCCAAGTTGTTTTGCTGAAGCTTCATAACTTGAAGCTTGGTTAAATTGCCCAGTTGCACTGGCAGTGTCCCAGTTATGTTATTCTGAGCCAAGTTCAATAGCAACAAATTCTGGCAGGCACCCAATTCCGGGGGAATGGATCCAAAAAAGTTATTGTTTTCCAGCTCCAAGTAAACCAAGTTCTGAAGTGTTGCAAGTTTTGCAGTGATTGAGCCGCTGAGTGAGTTGCTTCCCAATCTCAGCCTTACCAAGCTCCTGGAAGACACACTTTCAGGTATTGTTCCATTTAACAAATTAACAGACAAATCCACGTGCTGTAAGCTTGGCTGTGACAAAAGGTCAGATGGAATCAACCCAGACAAGTTGTTATAGCTAAGGTCTAAAATTTTGATATATCTTGTAATCAAAGCAGGAACTTCAGCAACAAAGTTGTTCTGATTAGCTGCAAACCGCTGCAGGGTGCTGATACTTGAAATGGATTTTGGGATTTTTCCACTTAATTTATTGGATGACAGAACCAAGAATTGCAACTTGGACAGGTTACCGATAGATTCGGGAATGGACCCAGTAAGATTATTACCACTAAGATCAATGACGATTAAATTCTTATATTTAAGCAGTTCTAGAGGAATTTCACCATGGAACATGTTCTTAGACAGCTGAAGTTGTTCCAAAACAAAAGATTCCCCTAGCTCAATAGGAACAGACCCACTGAATTCATTGGCACTAAGACTCAAAATTTTGAGTGAAACCAACTGACTCAACTGTGAATTAATCACTCCATTCAAATTATTAAAAGACAAATCCAAGACTTCAAGTCCAACAAAATTTCGAAAAGCAGCAAAGAACCAACCAACCTGTTCCTGCTAAAATCCAACACCTTCAACCCATCAATCCCTCCACAACCATTGAAGAACCCATCTGAGATACTTTTCAAATTGTTGATGGACAGGTTCAGTGACTGCAAAGAATCAATCCTGCACACCTCACTCAGAAAGTCAGAGTTAGAGAGGCCAAACCCAGATAGAGAAAGTGAGGTTATGGAGCTGTTGTTTGAGCGGCTGCATGCGACTCCTTGCCATAAACATGGGTTTGGCTCTTTGGTGACATCCCATGGCAATTGTGTGCCATTAAGTTGCTGAGAAATTGAGATCATAAC